TTGACATTTAAACTATAAATATGGATAGGTATGTACTTATTGCCATCTTATTACTTGTTTTCCAGTTGTTTTTGTAGTTTTTCTCTGTTCATTTCTTCTTTTCATTTCCCTTGTGTGGTTTGATGGTTTTCTTCAGTAGTATGCTTGAGTTCCTTTCCTTTTGGTTTTTGTGTACCTACTGTAGATTTTAGATTTGTGGTTACCTGGGGGTTCCTGTATGTTGACCCATGATCATAACTACTTGATTTAAACTGAGTCATTTAAGTTCAAATGCATTCTGAAAGAGCTACATTTTTAACCCTCCTCCCCCACATTTTGTACTTTTCGTATATTTTACATCTTCACGTTTACCCCTTTACTGTTTACTGTAGTCACAGCTGCTTTTACATTTGTCTTTTAATTACATACTGGATTATTTAAGTGATCTTCAATCCTTACTATATATTTGCCTTTCCTATTGGGATCTTCTCTTTCCTACATATTCTTACTTCTTTTCCATTTAGAGAAGACCCTTCAACATTTCTTTTAGGGTAAATTTAGTATTGTCAGATTCTTTTAGTTTTGGCTTGTCTAAGAAATCCTTTATCTCTTCTATTCTAAATGATAACCTTTTTGGTTAGAGTATCCCAGGTTTCAGCACTTTGAATATACCATGCCACTCCCTTCTGGCCTGCAAAGTTTCTGCAGAGAAATCAGCTGACAGACCTATCAGGGTTCCCATGTAACTGACTCCTTGTTTTCCTCTTGCTGCCTTTAGAATTCATTATCTTGAACTTTTGCCATTTTAATTATATATCTTGGTGTGGGTGGGTCTGATTGGGTTCATTTTGTTTGGGACCCTCTGTACTTCCAGTACCTGGATATCTGTTTCCTTCCTTGGGTTTAGGAAGTTTCAGCCATAATTTCGATACCCTTCTCTCTCTCTCTCCTCCTCCTAGAACCCCTAAACTGCGAGTGTTGGCATGTCTGATGTTATCCCAGAGATCTCGTATGCTCCTCGTTTTTTGGTTTTGTTTTGTTTTCATTTGTCTTTCTGTCTACTGTTCTGATTGGGTGATTTCCATTATTCTATCTTCCAGATCACTTATGTGTTCTTCTGTGGCATTTAGTCTATTACTCGTGGCTTCTAGAATGCTTTTTAATCTCAGATATTGAATTATCTACTTTTGATTGGGTCTTTGTTATATTTTCTAGTTCCTTATTAAGAAGATCTATGTTTAGAGCCATCCTCTTCCCTAACTCAGGATTTTTGTTACCAATGTTTTGAATTCTTTGGTGAATTGCTTATTTCTGTTACATTATTTATTTTTTCTGGGGTTTTCTCTTTTTTTCCAATGGAGAGTAGTTCCTCTGCCTTTTCATCTTATTTAACTTTCCCTGTCTCTATGCATTTACCTGAAGCAGTTACCTATGGTGGTCCTCAAGGGATGATCCCATGTCGGGGCATCACTATGCAGACTGTTTGCCCAGTGTCTTTGCTGTGAGGGCTGGATTTGATGTGGACACCAGTCACATCTTTCCTCAGGGTATGCTGGCCACTGTCACATCCCCCTGGCAGGGGATGTGGCTGGAGATGGAGGGGCGAGAGCCTGTGCGGGGCACTTCCTCTCTGCTCAGTGGCCATCGCCACCCTGTCAGGGGTGAGGTCAGCAACCAAGCTGCTGGAGCGGAAGCCCTGAGGGTTGGGCTCGAGTTGGCTCTGTGCCCTTGAAGTGTGTGTTTTTCCGTCTCCTGCACTGAGTACTTTGCCCCAAGGGAGGGGAGTGCTGAAGCCAAAGGGGCTCGCGTGCTTACAGAGGTCTGATGTGCTGCCTGTGTAGATGTCTGCAGCTCTGCTCAGATGCAGCCCATGGTCACATCTTTTCCCGTGTCTAGTGCTGTGCTGTGGAGTGGAGTGGGCAGGGTCGGGTTGTTCACTCAGCTTGGGCTGGGACATGTGTCGAGGCGGTCGTGGGAATTCAGGTGGCCACCTGAGTAAGCACCAACAGTGGCTGACATCACCCCACCCAGACCACACCCCAGGCCTCTGGGTCACCTCTGCATCCTCAGATCAAGTCTTTTCCCAGGTCCTGGCTGCCCTAGGTCCAGTGCCGAGGTGTGGTGTGGGGTGGGCAGGGCCAGGGTGGTCGCTCCCTTCAGGCTGGGGAGCGCAGAACAGAAGCAGACACTAAGGCAGACCTCTCCCCTCCCTGCCTGGGGTCAGCCAGCACCCGCGTTCCTCAACAGCGGGGAGTCCAGCCTTCTCCAGCCCTTCCAACTGTCCCAGCGGCTCTCCGAGGAACAAGAGGCTTGTCTCCTACATGCAGGAGCCCAGGACTAGGATGCCCTGTCTGTGGCTCTCACGACTCACTCCCCAGGGCTGGTGTCAGCCCTGTGATCTCCCTTTTCCTCTGAGTCCCCTCCCGGGGGCACAGGTCACGACCCGCCGCTCTGCTTCCCGTCCCACCCAATGATGTGTGTCTCCTTCTTGCAGCCTTGGTTGTACAGCCATCCTCCTGCCAGTTTCCAGCTAGTGTTCAGTGAGGAGTGCTCCATGTGTGGAGGTATCTTTGTGGAGCTCACGGGGAGGTGAGCTCACACCCTTGCTTCCCCATCTTGGCCTCTTCCTCTGGGTGCTCCTGTTTTGTGACATCGCTGGCAGTTAAAACAGCACTGTGGGGAGTCTCACCCCGTGACCCCGGGCAGCCTGGCTGTGACCACAGCCCCTGGAGCTGGGGCACCGGGCCAGTCCAGCACCTTGGTCTTTCTTCTTGAGTTCTCCCAGTGCACATGGACAGCAAACTGGGCCAGTTGAGAAGCTCAGACTCAGGGGTCTAGTGGAGAAGCCAGAACTGTCCTGAAACGTGCAGGTGCTGGATTTGAAACTAATCTGAAAAGGAGAAACGAGAGAGCTCAGGAGGCCGGGGAAGAGCATCACGTGAGCGTCCGAGGCAAAGGCTCACCACCAGGAAATTCTTTCTGAAAGTAAACGCATGCTGTTTATGCTGAAATTAAAATAAAATTCTCATTTTAACCTCGACAGCATCTTCAAAAACAGCTCCCTGCTAAGTCTTTAAATAAGTCCACCTAGAGTTGCTCTGGTTTCCAGGAAACCTTGTTTAGTTACGTCAGCCTCTCTCTGCACGGCGTTCAGGTCTGTTTTCCTTGCTCCCTTCCGACACTATGGTTCTCTTGCTGCTGCCACGTATCGTTCTCTTTTCAACGTGGGAATGAGCTGCGATAAACCGTGAAGTGAAAAAGGAACAACAAACACGACGCGAACTGTTAAACACACAGATGCGCACCACGTGTGCACAGCCAGAGGACCAGAATGGGACAACCCACACGTGCTGGGTGCTCCCCTGTCCCGGGCACTTACTAACTGCGGGACCCGCTGTGAGGAAGTTTTGAGGGCTTTGCTGTGGGGCCCATCTCAAAGGAGTGTGACCTCCCAAGACCTTAAGACACTGACACCCCCCCACCTCCAGACTTCTGCTGTTCGAATCCTTTTGTCTGTGACAACACCCGCCGTGGTACCTGTGGGTCCCAGGCTTTGGGGTCAGAGATGATACCGGGGAGGAAGAAGGAAGAGCACATTCTTTCCTTATTGATAATTTCACGTTTTTAACAAATACATGTGGTGCAGCGCCAGCTGAAACACTATTCTTCCACGTTTTCACAGATACAGATGCACTTCACATACCTATGATGTGGTAAAACACATTTGACTTTCACAGGTGAGCTATCCTTTCAACACCTTGGAATATTCCTTTAGCAAAATGGTCCTGTCTTTTTAGGTCACAGTGGTGGAGCAACACCGCCTAGTAAGCACCACGCAACAGGGCACACTAGTCAGCAACGATGGCCGACCGCCTCCTGCATGCCGCGTGTTTCAAACACGATGTTTTCGGTGGCTATGAACGTTAAGAGACAAGTGACGGCTGTAATGAAACAAAGCACTGTCTCCTCAAACGTAGAACACAAACTAAGCAGGGAAAATTATTTTCTGGCTCGTGAGAAATTTACACACCAACACACACCAAAGTACACTTACGTCGTATCTACCAGTGGAAGTTCAATGGGTGTGGGTGCTACAATTTCAACCACCAAATTTTATCAGTCTGTTTTTTTTTTTTTAAAAGATAACGGTTAAAGTTAGAGAGCTGTAAAATTTGATCCAAAACAACTTTTGTTTTTCTCCGTTCCTGTGTAATTCATGTGCTCTAAGAGATATGCTTTCAAATAAAGTTCCACGTTGCTTTGCTTAGTTAGAGATGGGCTAGTAGCAAGACCACAGACCACGGCAAAACACACGCACACCAAGAGGCATTCTAGTTCAGGGTTACGGTTTTAGTTCTAGCTAAAAAAGTAGGTAAAGCGATATTTCCAAAAGGATAAAAATACCTTAACTGCGTCCTTTTAAATAAAGGTGACCTGAGCAGTTAGGACCCTTGAATTCAAAAGCTCTTGTTGACTTTACTGTTAGCCACTGATATTCTAAAAGAGAAACAACAAACAACTGGTAGCACAGGGCACGCTGGGTAGGGGCAAGTCCCCACTGAGAGACACCACTGCTCGTCATGGGCACACACACCCCATCGCCTGCTCTGCGAGCAGGCCTGGGGGTGCGGCGCCGGCCGCCTGCAGGGCTCATCACTGTGCTGACGTAACCCGCGGGGCCCGGCCCAGCTTCATCTCGGGCGGCCGCTGCCTGCGGGATCTTCACAACATCTGTGAGCCTCTGCTACTGACACAGGACTTGAACACACCAGTACGGGTGAAAGGAAAGCACACAGGTGCTGAGCCTGGGCTCTAGTTTCCCCATAAATGGCAAGGTTTTCAATCAGCTAGAGAGAGCAATCTCGAGGGACTCACTCAAATGACCCCATCGCCTTCCGTTCTGGCCCGGGCTCCCCCATAGCCTCAGGGCAGCCTCCCTCTGGTGCTTCCCTCCTAAGACTCAGAGGCTGCAAAATCAGGTGCGTGGGACACGGGAAGGAGGCCGCCCCGGAGATACTTGCCGCTGAGCAGAGGCTTGTTGAGGGTGTACAGGGCGGGCAGGTCCTCTATGTTGGAGATGCGCTGGTACATGGCCCTGGAGAGGTGGTCCCCGTGGTACAGGCTGCCCAGGATGATGCTGGAGAAGTAAATCGGCTCCACAAAGACGCTGAGCAGGGACCCCTGGATGCCCACCACGTTCCACCTGAAGGCAGAGGGACAGGCTCCTCAGTGCGGCCCCCCCCCGGCCCGCGCCCTCCGCAGCGGTGTGCTTACGCGGCACCGCTCACCCTGTGCAAGTGTCAGCCAACTGCCAGAGGGCAGCGGTTAAAAATAACCCACTGAGCAGTTTGAAACTTTAAAAGATCTGCTTAAAAATTATCTTCTGCAGAGGCACGATCTTTGCCTTTGTTTCCCACGATGACAGAGGATTATTTAGCTCAGAAAAGGTATCAACGAGCCACGTTTCTGGTGAGAAAAAGCGAAAGGAAAAGCAAATCTTTATCTTATTACTTCTAATAAATACAGAGGTAGCTGCAGAGGGCCCCCGGAGGCCGGGAACTGATCCCTTCCTGCTCCCTGGCAGCGGGGCCGACCGCCCTGACCCTGCGTTTGGCTGGCGTGTGTGAGGGTCCCCCACCCCGTCACACCACCGACCCTCCAGGGCTCCGCTCTCGACACCACCAGACACGCCGCTGCCCGAGTCCCTACACACAGCAGGCGGGCCGCTCTCCGGGGGCCTTGGGAGCCCACGTCCAAGCACCCGCGCTGCCGGGTGCTGAGTCTGGGCAGCTGAGGGGCACAGCCCACGCGCCCCTGGAGCCAGCGGGCCGTCCTACGGGGCAAGCGGCAACAAGGCAAACATGTGAAGCAAGAACTAAACCCTGAGGGAGGCAGAGTCCCCGAGGAATAAGGCGGGCGCGCACTTCAGGGACGGCCCCGGGGGGACGCGGCCAGGCAGGCAGGGAGCAAGCAATGGGGAGGCCGCCGGTCCTGGGGGAGGGGCAGCGAGGGCTCTTCCATCTCAGGCGGGGAGCCCAGCACAGGACCCACCGGGTCCGCACCCCAGACCGCAGGTAGGAGGCCGCAGGGGGGCTGCCCCCGCACAGCACGTGTCAGCAGTACGTGGGGACAGGGCTGGCGCCTGGGGGCCCGCAGACCCTGAGAGGACTGGGGGCGGGAAGGCAAGGCCCAGGCTCCGCCCTCAGAGCCCCGGCCCGGCCCTGCCCGGCTCCACTCTCACCAGCTGCACCGCGGCGCCAGTAAGCAGGGCAGGTGGCCCAAACTCCTGAGCTGCCCAGCCCGTGCTCCGTGGCTCAGGCCAAACTCCTGTCAGCGGCCCGCGGCCAGCAAACCTGCGGGACCGCCTCTCGGAACAGAACAGGGGACGCCGCCATGGCCTCTGCTGGACCCGGGTCAGGTCACCTCCCTGCCCCCCTCACCGCCCCCTCCCACGGGGAGCCCAGCAAACACGCCCCCACCCCCGGGGCCCCTCCCGGACAGTCGTGCGTGACCCTGTGGAAACCCAGGCCAGGCCACTCC